TCACACAAACACATCAGAAAAACAACCCTTCACTGCAGAGCTTTTCGGGGCTGCCTAAAACCTCTGGTACGTGGCTTTGACATGGAAAGCTGAAGTTTTAACAAGCTGATATGAAGATGCTCACCCTGCAAGCAGTGGCTGTGGTGTTGGTGTAGGTCCGTTCAGTGTGTAAACTCCTAGACTTGAAATCCCACTGGTCCCGACACTAGCTGACAGGCCGGTGCTCCTCTCCCCATAGCTCAGGGCCAGGCTCTGCGGACGGGTGCAATAGAATGGGGTGGAGTGGGCGTCCCTGGGGAGGGCTTGGGCAAACAGTGCCCCGTAGTTTCCAACCTAAAAAGTACAATCAGACATTGAAGGTCTCCAGAATCAAGTATCAAGTATCAGTGCATATACACACGTAATCACTATGATCCAAAAGCTCGAGCTTTTAAACATTCAGTTTAATTTTCTTTCTACTCTTGGCTTTGTATGATATCACAGAGAGGGGATATCCTTATATATTCATCATGGCTCATAAGTTGCTATAAGCACTGAAGCTTCCACCATCTGCAGTTCAGATCATCTGTTTGTAAAGAGGTAGCCAGTCTGATGAAACCTCACCTGGGGTGTTGACCCAAGGCAAATGTAAGATATATAAGAATGACTTTTAACTCTGATTCATTTAAAGCTACTCTAATCTAAAAGATTTTAAGAGTTTTTAAGTGTATGTGTGTGTGCGTGCGTGTGTGTATGTGTTCCCCACCCTGCTGGATGGTTTGCGGGGGTCTTCAGAAAGGCTAAGCAACAAGTAGAGAACTGACCAGCGATGCTTTAGAACACCCTGCAAACAGGAAAACAACATTAAAAAAATACCACCTTCAAATCAGTTCAATTCGATCTCATTTACATAGCGCCCAATCACAACAACTGTCACCTCGAAGCGTTTTAAGGTAAAGACCCAAAATCAATACAGAGAAAACCCCAACATCAGAAACCCCCTTATGGCCAAGCACTAGGTGAAAGTGGGAAGGAAAAACTCCCTTCTAACAGGAAGAAACCTCCAGCAGAACCAACCTCAGGGAGGGGCGACTATCTGCCATGATTGAGTATGGGTGAGGGGAGTGAGACAGGACAAAAAGCACCCTTTGGAAGACTCTTTCATTTAATAAACAAAACAGTATTATTATCTGGAGGGGTGACTGTGGCGACTAGTGAGACTTATTAATAAACAAATAAATTAATATACAATTAATGACCAGTACTGTGTTATCAGCCCTTCAGAGGCTTACTCTGAACCAAATTAAACAGGTCTCTGTTTTATGCAAGCAGGCTGTATCATGAGTCAAGTGGGAAATTGTTCCATTAAAGCTTTAATACCTCTGTGGGTAATAATACCTTTCAGAGAGAAATCCAAATACCAACCTGTGTCTGAAGTTTCCTGTGCAGCTCCGAGAACAGAGCTGCATCCGCTTCTCTCCGCTGCTTCAGCACTGCAAGAGCATTAAGACCGACTGTGTTAGGTGGCGTTTCTCCTCCATGAATGGCTCATTTAACAGATGAACAAAGCTGGAAATGGTTCTTTGCCAAACAGGTTTTTAAATAACAAAAAGAAACTCTCCACAAATGGGATATTGTTAAAACTGCAGACCGAGACAAAGAAAAGTAGGAAATGTATTGTGGAGGTTCAAAAAGAAAGCCAGCAGACTGCAGCGCCCTTCTGAAAGCCCAAAGTTGCTCATCAAGATAAAGCATGCTGTGTTTGTATTTATAACTGCCCTCATATTGACAACCAACCCTCCAGCTCTGGTACACCCTGTCACTGCTGGCATTTAGAGCTGCAAGACAAATGCTATTTCTTTAGCAGTCACTGGAATACATTATTTCATATGCTCAAACTCACTCAAAGTTAATTTCATTTAAATGTCTGACTGTTTCACATCATTAACCAATATAAAATATCCAGTTATCACTTTTGTGGCAATGTTGCAATTAAAATACACAAAGACTAAGCAAAAACTTCTCATAAGTCCACCTGGGATAAATAAATGCTGTACAGTAAGTGCTGTGCTATTTTGGTTTCACAGTCTGCAGCAAAGCTTGGATCAATGTTTTCCCACTAATGGTGTGACCTTGCTGCCATTTAAGTCAAATAGGATTCTGTAGTATGGTGGAATAAAGATTTTCCAGCACATGTATTAAAGCTGGCATTCTGACATAAGGGGATCAGATGTCACAATGACTAAATGAAGTAATATACAGTGGATTATAATGGATTTGCTTTCACAGAGGGAGGGAGGAAAGCATCAATCCAAATGTCACTCACGCTCTTTCTTTATCTTCTCTGACACCAGGAACTCGTCTCGTTCAATAGTAGGGGCATAGTTACTGCCAATGACTCGTACTGCGTACTGGAACTGGTGGGCAACTTCAGCTGAAAAAACAAAACAAAAAACAAATATCAAGACATGACTAACAACTTGAAGGAATGTACAAATGACAGTGTGTTGACTGGGGCATTTTTCCCCCTGTTACATCATTACTTTACTTATAATGTTTCACTTATTTTCCAAAAGCACAAACAGGATATAACAAAATGAACTTACAGACCAGGAGAGTGCAGATTTGCCATTACTTTAATAAGGATAATGTATGATGGGACAGTGTTACTAACACTTTAGATACATATTTTAAAAGCTAATTTTCATTGCAGTTGCTAACTGCAAAGGTTTTGGGCCTTTGATCAAAAGTGACTTAAAAAAACAAAAACAAAAAAAAAACACTGCTTCTGCCTCTATCTACAACAGGGGCCTGCAGCTAGCCAGGCAACTGCATCCAATTTACCACACAGATTAGAAACAGAGCTAAGTGGCTAGCAATCTAAAAGATAACCGAGAAAGGCGAAGCACTTTATTTGAGCTAAAGTAACGGTGTAAGACAGCGACTCGTGGAAGCACCGTGAAGCTGTTCAGCTGGATGTGCAGCATCTGGCCAAGCCAATTGGCTGACAGATACGCGAACCGAGCCCCCGCTACGTCCCGTTTTTCCTCACAGCTAAAGCGATAGCCACATAAAAAGAAATCAATATATTTTCTTAATAATTTAAATGTGACATTGTAGTGACATGTTTACTCCCGAAGGCCTTAAGAAATTAATAAAATCCTATCTTCAATTCGGCAATTGTCCGAAAGACTGAGCAGCAGTTATTTAAGTAAAACTTCAACCGTTTTCTACAATATTCAGTCTGCAAAACAAACCGGGTGAGTCGGCGCCCGCTGCTTAAAACGTTTAATAAACAGAAAAATCAGAGCGGTCTAATGTGAAATATTAATGCCGAATTTGCCACTGGAAGTTAATCACTCACATACTGCTTCGTGTGAAGCATGTATGTTTACTAACAGGACGCGAAACAACAAAAAATAGATTTTTTTGAATGAGGTTAGGTTTGGCAGTTCCTGACTACTACAGTAGTGCAGTAGCGCGAAGCTTGCTAGCAGTAACGGATGTACCTTCGCTTTTCCCCGTGATTCTGCAGCAGAGGCTTTGGAGAAGGACGTTTGGCGATTTCTGATCCAGGGTTGCCATGCTCTCCGTGGCAAATGGGCAGTGTGTTCCCCAATAAATGAATAAATGTGAATGAATAATATGAACTAACTCAAATCCCCCACTACGGGCAACGCCATTTTGACAACTTCAGGCAAGCTAGGAAGAATTTGACAACGACCAGCGCCATTTGCCTTCAAAATAAAAGCATACATGTTCTTACCTATTTCTTTTAAAAACTTGCACAACACTAACGAAGGCTCAATAAATTATGTACACATCAAAACTAGAAGCACTGTTCCGCAAAAAAAAATAACAAGACGATAATACATACGACGTCAAGAAAGACGAGGAAGACAAGATAACCAGATCAATGAATATGTAAGGGGAACTTGTAATGTAAAAAAGAACCTTTTGACTGGTAAGTAAGACCAAAGGTGCAACATGTATGCCGGATGTTTAATTATCTACCAGTCCCATTAATAAATAAATAATGAACGGCAAAAATACCAAAACAACTAAAAGCCTATTTATGACATATCATTAATAAAGTTGTTACAGTTTAAACCAAAATCCATCACGTAGGTTTTATTTTGAAGGTTCAAACAAGAAACCGTGGTTATTATTTCTATTTTTACGGCGGACTTTCAACAGAACCCGCCGAAAAGCGTCTCCAGGAAACAGGGCGCGGACAAGTGGATGAAAATATTTCCCTCCTGAAACGTGGTGCCATGAATTATTTTGTTCTGACCCCGCTGACCTGCCTGTTACAAACCGATGCGTCACGACAGCAGTAATAACTTGTAATAATGAGTCTAAAATATTTTGAAAATCTCTTCTCATTTTAAACCGAGCTTGAAAAAGTGGATGAGATTTGAGATGGAAAAGGAATATAAATTTTACCTTTCAAATTCCTTATTTGTTGTATCACAAAACTTTAGTTAACCTAAGTAATAAACAAACAAATGAATAAATAAATAAATGCGATTATGTGTAAGTTATGTGTATTTCTGACATTTTCTGTAATGATTTCAGCACCATATCTATGGATAGCACCAGTCTGTTTTATTTTATTTTATTTTATTATTTTTTTAAGTTAAAAAAAATACTAAATATCCCACAGTTAACTGAAACACCCAATCAATAATTACTCTTCACAAACACTAGAGCGCGCATGCGTTCACCCCCGGTGCCAGAGCCACCACCTGGCTCCACGTGACGTAGATGAAAGAAAATCTCTTTTGGCCGCGGCGCGAGACAAGAAGATTATTAGTACACGCGCAGAGGGGGGAGAGAGAGAGAAAGAGGGAGCGCGAGAGAGCTGGATATTAGTTTGGCTTCTAGTCTTTTAGGAGGAGCAGCTCGCTGCCCGTGTGAACTGTCTTCAAACTGTAGAAGACGCACAGACAGACACTCCCCCGTTTAAAGCCCGTTGCGGGGTCCGTAGGTGAGTTTGGAAGCGAGTCCTTTTTTTCCAATTCAGGAAGAAGAAGACGGGGGAGAAGAGAAAGTCATGGACAGAGGAGTAGAATTAAAAAGAAGCTAGCGCCCGCAGTAAAAATAACCTTTGGAGGAGAAAAAGACAGAGAGCAGAAGAAGTGTCCGGAGAGGGAAGAGGAACAGGATGGGGATGGATTTCAGCACTCTGCGTACTCTTATCAGCCGATATGTAAGTTTGTTTTTCCTTTTTTCTTTTTTTAAAAATTAAATACCCTTATGTTCACATTAACACATGCGACTAGTTGCCTACAAACCAAAGACATTTCCATTTTAAATCAAACCTGTGAACTTTTTTTGTTATCACCGTTGGTTTAAAATTCCGACGAAGCGGCTCTCAGAGGATTAGGTTTCAATAAAGGGAGTGGAAAGCAACTCACTGAAGAGTGGTTGGGAAACTTCCCGACACTTAAAAATCGTGTGACTAATTAACCTTTATCAACTTATATATTTTTTAACTTTTTTCCCACGTCCCTTTATTTCAACTTCAACAATGACATTTCGGCAGTTTTAAGTTACTTTTTTAAAGTTCATTGCTCCACAAATGACACTAGATCCCCACTACTCTGATCTTGAAAGCACATGTAAAATGCATCTTTCACTGATATTCTTTAAATATATATCAGCTATTTATGTTGAAGCATGTGTTAAATAATAAGCTCCTCACATATCTGTTAGTGCTGAAAAACATTGTGTATCTATATCTATATATATATATATATGTCGAAATGTGAGAGAGATATTATTTGGTATGTACAAAATTGTTCCAAGTACTTTTGCAGATACTGTTCAGACATCTTTAAACAACAAACGCGGTGTGATTTGAATGAGTGAAAGGTTGAGTCACCTCACAGTATTGGTAAGTGGTGGGTGGGTGACTACCTATCTGCTCATGGCAGAACATGCCAAAAAATGCAGACAGGCAGCTATTATCATTCATGTCATCGTTGCCACTCAGTCTCATTTATTATGCTACCTCCCAGTAGAACAAAATGGAACATGAATTATGTAATCCACTTGTTTTCTCCCTGCTAGTCAAATCGATGGGCAGCATCTATATGGGTTACATTAGGCTCGGCAGTAATGTGCTTGACAATAATCCAGACAGTGCGAGCCCTGCTCACATGAGAGCCAGTGAGGTTTATACCCCAGCTCCGTACTCAGCTGAAGCTTAGGCACTGCTTCCCAACTGTTGCAACTAGCTGATTAAATACAATTCCCTGCTGTGTGGAGGGTGAAATGGAGCCATGTAGCTAGAAGCATGAAGAGAGAAGCCGGTGACTGGTGTAGGATGTGGGATGCTGATGAGGTCTGCTGCTGTAATTGGTCTGGATAAATGCTTTAGGTAAATGGGTTAGGGCTAAATTGATTGCATTGCTGCTGTGGTGGAAAGAGGCTGCTGAATACTTAAGATCAGGGTCAGGAACATCCATCTGTTTGTCAGATGAAGGATTCTCCCTGTGACCAAGTCTGTAAAGTGAAGCTAAATGTAAATTCAGGCTTTATACTATTTCTGCTATGATGTAAAGAGCCTGTGGTACGAACAGGCTGCTAAAAACATACTAATAACAAATGTTTGTAGAGTATTTAAATATGACAATTGGTTTAATTTTCAGGTGTTTATAATGACATGTAAACACAGTAATAATATGCCTAGTATCTTAGTCATGTTCTCATCTTCTGAGTTTTCTAAGTATTTCATGTATAGACTTGTTTGTGGCTGTAATTCAGAAACCAGTCTCCTTTGAGTCTCTGGGCTTTGGGCACGTTGAGATTTGTTTCACAAATAGACGTAACAACTGTGACAGATTTTACAGCCTGATAAAGGATCCCTGTGATTTCACAACAGCTCAATAAACTGAACTGAACTATGAGAGAATTTTCATCATTAAATGTTAGTGCGTGTTTCTATTAACATGCCGACACGTGCAGTAAACATTTAAAAAGCAGCCAAAGATCAGAATTGAGGTTGTGTGAATTTGTTAATTATGATGCTTCACACAGAAACATTAAAAGGCCCGCTGTGCATGTACTGAAATTTTCGTTATTCACTCTATAAATACATCAATGTTTTCATGCAAACAGAGTGCAACTGACAGTATTGGGTTACGTACAGTGCATCTTTGTTCTAAAAAAAGTAAATATTGTGTCAAGGCTCATTGTTTCTTTAAATGAGGTGGTGTGAGGAATGTTTAGAGTGGACGCATGATGAAAAATATATCTGTACTGTGGATAATCTACCGCCTTGTGTTTAAAAAGCTGTGCCATCCGTCTTGTGCGATGTCAGTAGAAGCCACAGTAAATTTTATTATTGCGATTGTGCCAAAACTTTCTGTGTTATGCTACAGGCTTGCAGAGGGAAAGTACAAATGAAATAAACAGGTTTAACTGGGGTTGCTTTGTACCTGTTTGTTACCTTTTGCTCTGCAACAGGGTGTGGATCGTGGTGGTGAAAGTCAGTCTCGTCAGTCGCTGCCGCCTCAGATTAGGTAAAAGCTAAATGATGTCATATAAGCCTACAGTATAGCTCTCTTTAAAAGTGTAACATGCAGAGTTGTTCATGTAGTGGCTGCCTGTCCTGTCTAGACCAGTTTAAAATCAAACGTGATGCTGGTAGCACCAAGAGCTCTGAGATACAGTGTAGTTATTCCAAAACAGGTGGCTCACCCTGTTTTGTTCTTTTCCTGAGTTAATTTTAGTCACTGAAATTCTTAGAAGTACTGTTTTATATATTTTCTAACCTGTCTTCAGTGCTCCTCCTCAAGTCTTTTTTTAGGAGATATCAGGAGAAGCACTGTTTAATTGGATTATATAACAGAATTATAAAAGAGTTAGGAAAAAGCACAATGCTACGGTCAGCTTTCTGTCTCAGGAGTGGCATAAAATACAAAGTTAAGTTTTCTCCAGAATTAAATACTTAGATCCAGTGACTTTGTGTCTATCAACGCAAATCACCCATAATGCTGTATAATGGGTGTAATGTCCCAACAGCAGACGCAGCTGCTGGTGCAAAGGGACAGAGACAGATATCAGCAGAGCAGCTGAACGTAAATGGTGTTAAGTTGTAATATTTGCCCTTTTTCCCCCCTTATAAATTTCTTCATAGCCCTACAGACTTGTAGAGACTGGACTTGTGTTATAAAGAGTCAATGACAAGATAACGGTTGCAACAGTAGGTTAATAACACACATTAGTAATACACTGGAGCATATGCTGAAAATGTAATGGACAGGAGTTGCACAGCATCTCTTTACTTTCACTATCTGAAAATAATACCAAGCCAGCTGAAACCAGCTAATAACTGAACTGTAATGGTGGCAGAGAGTTCTCAGTCCAGCTCTGCTCCAACTGATTCATCCCACACAGCACGTTTGTATTGGTTTGACCTCTTGTGGACACAATACAAATATTATAATCATTTAACACTGTGCAGGTGATTTTCTTTCTTTTTCTTAAGGAACAATGAAATGTTATTTTGACAGCCTATGTTTGTTTGCTTAGCAAACAGAGTTCAGTGCATCTTAGCAGAACTGGACTGTTACTGTTACTGTTACAATGAAAAACAGCAGAGTTGCAAATACCAGGACACTGAAATGTAGAACTGGAGCAGAAATGAGATCTCACTAGTTTCCTGACAGTTGCCCACTAGCCACTTTATTGGTTCTTCTGAAGGATAAATACCTTGCTATATTTTAAAATAATATTAGTAGGCATTCAAAGCATTAACCATCCTTTTGAAGGTATTTTCCTAAATAATCAAACCATATAAGACTAGAAAAAAGACAAACTAAGATTATTTTGGCTTACAGGCTGAGTAAAGTCAGACGTCATATCGGGTTGACGTCTTTGGAACTCGCAGTTTGGGAAAAGGCCTAAAAATCCTTTAAATGTGCTTTTAAGTGCTTTTAATAAAACCCATGCTTAGCCAAGTGATTTTTAGTGTAAAAGCATTGGGCTTGTGCAAAACCATACACTCACACATGGACCAATGCACCAAAATCAATATACAGCATTTGTATTATTTAGGACTACAATTATCATTTGGTCAGTTATTTTTTGATTAAATAAGTAAGCTACTTTCAGCTGCCCTCTTGCCACAGGGGGTAACTCTGTGGGATTTGGTTTTACACTGGATGTCCTTACTGACACAACCTCAAAGGAGAGATTGGTGACTCCGGCTGGAATCTACGGTAACCAGCGATCTTTTTCCTTTCCAAGCAAATTATATCACCAGTTTTTATCATATCATATCATAATGTTAGAAAGTGGTTGTAAATCTTATTCAGAATAAATTTCATATTGCTACATTACACTACTACTAATACTACTTTGTAGACTGTAACTGTGAAAATCAAACAATATTGGACGAATCCAAAATGAAACAAACTGGAGATATCATGTTCGTGTATTAGGCGTGTTCAAGAAGCCACCCAGCATTCCTCTCCAGCTACCTAATGTGGCTCTCTGAAAGTCCCGCTGGTCTCTTTTTGGCTTCCTGCCTTCACATACTAGATTAAAGGGTTACTGCTGTTCACTATACCTTCACCCACTTAATCCAGTTTGCAGCTATACTTTCAGATCTAAGCTTATCACTAAACACCTTACTACTTATATTCAGCCTAGTTTTATTTTCTAATTAGCTCACCGAACAGCAGGCTGTATGTGAAGTATGCTAACTGATCCATGCATATGAGGCCGTAATAAATGTTCACGTCAGTAGTGGCTGATGATCATGTTGCTGTCTCTATAGTGTCATTCATGCACATTAGTAAGAAGCAGGTAGATGGGATAGTTGTAGCCAGTTGACGCAGAGGGCATCAGATCATATGAACTCCTTGGCTCCAAATGCTTGTCAATAATTCATTAGTAGACTGGCTGACAATGAAGACTGATGTTTGTGTAACTTGTTTAGGAGTCTGCTCACTGTGGGGCTCAGGGATGCCCCAGGTGGCTTGATGGGATTCCAGAGGGTCCCCATCTAACCACTGTGTTTTAATCACTGCAGGATATAATTTTACAACCGAGGTTTGGTGGAAACTGCAAAAAAGTCCTATGCTGGCTTTTCTAACTAATGCCCTCACAGAAGAGTAGAGATGGAAGACTTCATTGTGCAAATAAAGTCCAACTTGGCTTAACCATAAGGAAGTGCCTAAAGGTTAAACTAAGGTAATC